ATATAAATATAAATAAATATAAGTATGTATAATTATTTATATATTATATGTCGGTACTTATTAAAAAAGTGCTCAATATCAGAGATAGAGCTAACATATTTGGTTGGATAGATGTGAGTTTGTGACCTGGGTTTCACACTTTAGCGATCGTCGATCGCTAAAGCGTGAAACTCAGGGTCACAAACTCACATCTATCCAACTAAATATATATATATATATATATATATATATATTTGTGTGTGTGTGTGTGTGTGTGTATATATATATATATACACACACATATATATATATCTGTAAGTAGTTGGGGGTTCTAAGAATTGAATAATTAGGCCATTGAAATCAACAGAAGAGTCAACTATGTGTGTGTGTGTGTGTGTGGATATGTAACATTTTTAACAGAATGCCAAGATATTACTCTCTGATCCTGATTCAAGAAAGAGGGATAAGAAGTGGCATTTTGATTAAAGGTAGAGTACACAGATATTCTGATCTGAAACCAAATGCTGTCCAATAAGTATATAATCCTATCATTTTAACAGCTACTATAATCATATGATATAAAATAGTTTATAAAGTAAATTTCTGTATCCTTTGGCTGAAGCATTTTGAATTCTAGCAGAAGGTATCAGTAACTCCTTGCATTTTAGTGGCTTGCTTAGGCTGAAATCTGCATTTATTTGAATCAGCTGATATAAAACTCACAGACACAAAGATGGGACTTTATAGATTTCATTAAGCAACAAAGAAAAATTAGAGAACATTCTCATGTATAAAAATATATTAGACTCACTTGTGTTATACAGGTTTCTGAAAGGGGAATGGTATACATTCTGAAAGGGGAATGGTATACATTCTGAAAGGGGAATGGTATACATTGCTGGTAATGAGCTGAATCAGCTAATACATTCGTCATCATTTCTTTTCTGTCCATTTTTTTAAAAACGGGAACTTTCTCTTTCCTTATAGATTGTACTACATTATATATATATATATATATATATATATATATATATATATACACACACACACACACACACACTAGTACAGGCTTGGTACACATGGAATAAAATTCCAATAACCAAAAACACCATTCTTAAAAAGTTCTTATTACCGAGTAGAGGTAATAATATTTATTCAAATTTATAACATGCATGTTATGTTTTACAGTGATCTTATAACTGCATATGTTATAAATTTGAAAAAATATATATATGTGTGTGTGTGTGTTTCATTGAATAATATATACATATATCTATTTATTTTCATACTGATCCTTTCCAGTTCTCTAATCAGTTTCTTGGTGTTGAAATTCATCAAGGAAAGTTCTTATAATTTTGTCTTTGTAATTTACCACTGAAGATGATCCGGGAGGAGATTGAAAGTACTTGGGTTAGAAAAAAACTACAGCACCTTCCTTGATGAATTTCATCTTAACATTAAGAAACTGATTAAATAGACCTAAAATATCAATATTATTCAATGAAACATGTTTTTAAATGAAGATATGCAGCCTGAATGTGTGTGTGTGTGTGTGTGTGTGTGTGTATATAAAATTTCTAAAGAAATAGTGGATTTTTTATTCATTAATATAACAGATTTTATTACTTAAATGTTAGGCAAAGACCTGCCTAAAAGTAAATTAAAGTGCTCAACACCTAGGCTATCCAGACAGAGTAAAAAAAAAACAAACTTCACAACAAAGCACAGCTCGAATCACTAGTCATGAAAAAATAAATATGCAAAAATTCACCTCTCTGCCAGGCATTGATAGACTAAGGGTTAGAATATCTGACTGATACCAAATTGGTCAGGTTTTGGTCCTGGCCTGAAGCAATCGGATGTCTAGGCAAACTGATGTGCTGTGAAACAGCAAAACAGTCTGTTTGTGGATGATATTGGCTCTTGATAAAATAATTTGATTTGTCGAGCACTGTGGGGAGTAAGGAACGAATTTGTAAACAATCACTATTACTGCTGATAATGCAAGACTCTTCCAGCGGATTGAGTTCTCTGAATGACTGGTATGTTTATGAAAAATATGCAAAAATTTCCTTTCTCTCTGCCAGGCATTGATGGCCTAAGGGTTAGAATCTCTGATTAATACCAAATTGGTTGGGTTTTGGTCCCAGCCTGAATCAATCAGATGTCTTGCCCCACTGATGAGCTGTGATACAGTGAAATAGTTTGTCTGTGGATGACAATATATATATATATGGAACTAATGATTCTTGCACTAATGTAATTAGCTTAACATTTTCTGGATTGGAAATTTAGTCTAGTTCGATATCAAATAAATACTGATGAAGGTTCCCAGAGCAACTGAAAATTTTTTGATTTCTGAACAATTTTTTTTTCTCTCACATGTCAATAAAAAATATAAAAATACACAAAGAATATTTCTTATCTTTTATATAAGTTTGGTAATCTGTATGGATAATCTCGAGTAGGATGTAATCCACAGAGCTCAATGTCAAACCAGAGCAATTATTAATTCAATTTAATTAGAAAACGGACAACCTTAACCCTAGAACACAAATTACAGGTATACAGTACCCAGCACAAATTTTCCTATTTTTAATTACAATTTTCAGTACCTGATTTTCTTACCTAAATAATGTTTTTCAGTTCCTATTAATGTTAACTCAAAGTACCAAGTTTGAAGTGCCTGCATGTAAAATATTTCAAATAAAGATTTATATTTAATATTTTTTTTTATATTTTCAAAATCAGATATGATATACCCATGGTTAGTAGTGGTGTAACTTTTATTGATGATTAGTGTTCTAGGATTAAGATTGTCTGTTTTCTAATTAAATTGAATTTATATATATATATATTATATATATATATATTGGAAAGAGAAGTTGAAAATGCAACTGGATTTCTTTAAAATATTTATTTAGACTAACTTTACCATTTCACAGTTCTATGATTTTTAGAAATTAAATTGAGACATATCCTTTTACAGTTGAAATTACTAAATATAACTGTAAGTTCTATGCTAACAAGTTTATTTCCTTTTTTTTTTTTTGGCACTTTTCACTCATGGAATTCTCTTTCAGCTTCATGCTTTCCAGTAAACTTTCCTCTTCAAAAATTTAAATGCACTGTCAATCATTATTTACTGCCTTTATGATTATTCTCCTATTGTTATCACTCCTTAGTAATGTTTCTATTTTATAATTCTTTCACACCAAGTAACTTTTAAGTGTTAGTCGATTAAGTGTTGGGGTATGTCCAATTAAAATATATATATACCATATCTTTCCGTGTATGAGGCAAGCTTTAGATAAGTAAAAAAATACAGCAAATTTTCATGAATTTATCCTATACCTATAGTATAAGATGACTGCTTATTGATTATATAAAAATGATATCATTGGAATTGTTATTTACTGTATCCTTAGAAATTCAAAACAAACGAAATAACAAAACCAATTCTATATCATGTTTTTCCTACACATGTCTCCTGAAAGGGAAACTATTGTTTTGTTTACATTTCATTGTGTAATCTCTTGTGAATACTGATTCTCCCTTTTCTTCCTGTGCTTTTCCTATATCTAAACAGTTACTAAACAGCCTAGTATACTTATTGAGGCTGAGGTTAGCCTACAAATATCACAAAGAATTTAAGGTTTCTTCCCTAGAATTGTAGTATAAGATGACCCCAAATTTTTAAGGGTGGTTTTGAAGATTTAAAGGTTGTCTAATACATGAAATATATACACTGCATGCCAAATTATTATCGAGATAACTTTTTCTAATATTTCAAAAACCGTCCAATCAATTCACACAAAATTTTCACACAATGTTGGCAACACTGACCTGCGCAATCACTGAAATTTCCATACTGATCTGCGCAATGTAAACAAACTGGCACCATATTTGTTATCAGCACAGTGATTTGAGCATGCGGATTCAACTGATCTCCTAAGTTAAAAAGCTCTACATGTTATTTTTATTTTTTATTTCATTTTCACACGTGTATCGAGCACTTTTTAATACTACTGTTTCCTGGTTGGATTCAACTCTGATCATTAACCTTATATATATATATATATATATATATGTATGTATGTCATCCACAGACAGACTGTTTTGCTGTATCACAGCTCATCAGTGTGGCCAGACATCTGATTTGGTATCAGTCAGAGATTCCACCCCTAAGCTCTTGTTGCATGCCAGAGATTAAAGGAAATTTTAACATCTTTACTATACAAAAGACATTAGAAGCTAGGAGAGCTCGATTCTAATATATATATATATATATATATATATATATATATATATATATATATATGTATGTATGTATGTGTGTGTAGTTTTTCTCTTTGAATAGGTAAACACATTTGTGAAATTCTTCTCTCCATTTTTTTCAAAACTGTGTGTGTGTGTTTTTAAAATATAAATAAAATGCATCTTTCTTTCTTTCTGTCACTTTCTTCCCAAATTTGGTTTTGTTTCTTCATTCTAAACTTGTTTTTTTTTTTTTTTACTTTTTTCTCTCATTAAATTTACATGAATTTCCAAGCATATTTTTCCTTTTACAAAGTTACATTATTTTTCAAAATAAACCATCTCTCTCTAGTCATCTGTCATTGTCATGTGCCATGTTCCTTCAGGACATGGATGATCATGGTTCTCCACAATTTCATGCATTTTGTAGCTCTTAGTAAATATTATTATCCCAATTAAAACCCTGTTCTGCTATTCATTTATACAGGCATGTTAATTAAGTTATGTGCTGTTTTCCTCTGTCCCTCTTGCCTTCAATATATCCTGTGAGGATCAAATTTTCCAAACCCCCTTTCTTCATTATGTGACCTAGATATTTCAACTGTCTCTCTCTGGTGTTAAGTAAAAGTATTTCTTTTTCTCTTCCATAATTTTCAATATATATATATATATATATATATATATATATATATATATATAACTCTCTTCTTGAGACTATTTTTTCCTGAATCTACCTCTTTTTCTTTCTTCCTCTATTCTTGTAGCTATTTTTCTGAATCTAATTATTTATCCTTCTTCTTGAAGCTATTTTTTGCAAATCTACCTCTCTTTGTCTTTATCTCTTTTCTTAAGGCCATTTTTCTGAAAGTACATTCCTTTTTCTTTCTCTCTGCTATTTTTTATGAATTTACCTCTCTTTTGCTTCTCTTTCTCTTCCCTTAAAATTTTTGAAGCTACCATTTTTATCTCTTTCTCTCTCCATTTTTTTTTCTTGGGGTTATTTTTTCTGAATGTAATTTTCTTTTTCTTTCACTCACTTCCAGAGGCTATTTTTTCTGAATCTACCTGTTTTTCTTTCTCTCCATCCATTTGCCATTTTTCTGAATTTAGATCTTGTTTTCTTTCTCTCTCTCTCTCTCTCTCTCTCTCTTCCTGGTCTTAGTTATTCTGAATCTGCCTCTCTTTCTCTCTCTTCTCACCATTTTTTTTAATCTACCTCTCTTTTTCATTCTCTCTCTTCTCACCATATTTTTAATCTACCTCTCTTTCTCATTCTCTCTCTTCTTGCCATTTTTTCTGAATCTTACTTGTCTTTTTCTATCTCTCTTCTTGAGGCTATTTTGTATCTTTCTCTCTTTCTTCTTGACATTATTTCTGAATCTACCTCTCTTTTTCTTTCTCTCTCTTCTTGCTATCTTTTCTAAATCTACCTCTCTTTTTCTCTCTCTCTTCTTGTCATCTTTTTTTAATCTACCTCTCCCTTTCTTTCTCTCTCTTCTTGACATTTTTTTCTAAATCTCTTATTTTCTTCTTCTCTCTCTCCCTCTTCCTGAAACTATTTATTTTGAATCTGCTTCTTTCTTTCTTCTTATCATTTTTTTCTGAATCTACCTCTCTCTTTCTTTCTCTCAGTCTTTGTTCCTTTCTAATCTATCACTTACTGACCCATTCCATTTCTTATCTGCATAATATTCTCTCTTCTTGAGGATGTCTTTTTTAAAGAGTGTATTTCTCTTTTTCACTTCCTCTTTCTCTTTGTGATATTCCATGTCACACACTCTCTTTGCTCTTCCTCAAACACTCTAACTATGTACATGTATTACTTTTCTTTCTACTTCACTAACTTTCTTTCTAAATGCATATGTTTTACCCCTAATTTTTTAGCAGTAAATATATACGTACAGCAATATCAGCTGTTCTTTGACTCAAATTTTTTTTTTGTTGTGTTTTAGTTTTCAGTTACAAAATTGGCTTTGATAATTAGCTGCCCCTATCCAACTAAAAAAAAAAAAACTCCTAGTCAATCAACTAAAAAACAACCAAATTTTAAAACTAAACTAGTCTTATAGACTAGAAATTCTTGGTTTCTAGTTTTGAAAATCTCTCAGGGATTCAAAAAAAAAAGGAAAAAATTGGTAAGAGTGGGACCTGTAAAATGAGGAAGTTATTAAGCAGACGTCTAGTAAAAACAAAGATGATAGAACAAAATAAGTGGGGGACATGATTACATTTGGGTTTTCCACAAATGCCTGTTGTAAGGAGAGATGAGTTAAGACATGGGGTTGGCATAGGAAGAAACACTAAGAAGTTACAGAGAGTAGGAGGTGCGGGGGGGGAATGAGTAGTTGTAAGAGTAGGGAGGAAGTAGAAGATTAAAGAGAAAGAAAATAATAAAAGTAGTTTCAAGAAAGAGAAGAAAGAAAGAAAGTGTGGGGGGAGAAGGAAAAGAAGGGAGAGATAAAGAAAAGATATCAACGAAGATAAGAGAAAGAGGGAGAAATAGTAGTAGATGAAAAAAGTGATATAAAAAGAGGGATACTGAAGAGAAAAGGAATGCAAAGAGGTTGGAAAGAGCGGTTGATAAATTAGAAGCTGTAAGAAGAGTAAATAAATAAAAGATTAGGAGAAGGAGAAGAAGAAGGCATCCATTACCAATCTGGTCATGGTCTACCACACGACAAGGTTAAAATCTGATTAGATAGTAACTGTCTTCAAAATCTTGAAGTATGGTGTGAGATTAATCTGGTTAACCATTACTAATGAATAGTGAAGTTGATCTTCATTGGGTGCCTCGTAAAAAACATTGATATTAAATAACGCAACAATGATTGCCATGTTGTACAACCAACCAACCAACAATTGGCACAGGTAATGTTTAGTGAGTTTAATCTGGTTGACCATTACTAGTGAGTAGTGAGTTTGATCCTCACTGGGTGATCCATACAAAATTTAATGTTAAATAATTCAACAAGGGTTAATATATATAGAAATCAACCAAACAACAATCCGCATTGGTTAACAAAGAGGGAAAGATGATTTAAAAAATTTGACACTCACAAGACATATTGATGGCAAGAGGGAGAGAGGAAAGTCCAGTATGCCAGGTCAGGACCAATAATATGGCATCTCAGCTTCAGTCACTCTGCCACCCTTGTAATGTAAATACTTTCATGGTAATTGTTCTGATGAACTTTTTTCTATGGTACCTAAATTTTATGAGTGCAGTTGGCTGCAAAGTCTCATCATTTTACAGCTGAATGGCAGGACGTAAGCATTAGTTCTATGCTAAGAGTTTCTTCTATCGCACTTCTTGCTTGTGGAAGTCACTGTTGGCTTCTTGCTTCCCAGTCAACTTTGATCTTCAAAATTTAAATACAGTGTCAATCATTATCTTGTGTTTTCTTAATTCTGGTTCTTTTACTGTTCTCGCTCCTTAATAGTGTTTTTTCTTCATATTACCCACTAACACTCAGTAACCCATTATGTTTTAGTGACTTTATTGACTTGCTTGGGGATGAAATGCGATACTGAGATCCATAGACTTATTGGGATGGTCAAGGATGCATTCCAAAAGCTGGGCAGAGTATTGCAAGACAGGAAGATTTATTTGGTAACAAAGAAAAGAATACTGAACTGTTACACAACATCTGTCCTTTATGACAGCAAATGTTAGATGATTTCCTCAAAGATGAAGAAGAGACTCAAGGCGACGGAAATGTGGTTCTACAGAAGGATGCTGAGGATATCATGAGCAATGATGAGGTATTAGAGAGGATGCAAACAAGGAGGAGGCTTATACTTAATATCAGGAAGAGGCAGCTGAAGTTTCTGGGACACATAATGAGGAAGGAGGGCCTGGAGAATCTGATACTCACGGGTCGAATAGAGGGAAAGAGAGACAAGGGAAAAAATGCATTACATACCTAGCAAGTGGATGACTGAACGTGGTCTGGGGGAGGTGGCAGAGGGAAGAAACTTATTGAGAGCTGCAAGGGAATGAGGGAGGTGGAGAGCCATGATCACCCATGTCCTGAAAGGACACAGTACATAGAAAGAAAGAAAGAAAGACAAGAAGTATTTGAGTCACTATGCCTGTTTTTTTATTTATAAAAATATAAACCAGAGATTGTAACACAAATATGTGTACCCACTACAAATAATGTTTATAGTAATAAGAAACAGGGCTGGTGCATCTTACCCACCAACTGGGTGGTGGGGGTTATGGCATTGTGTATCACTTGCATGCCAAATGCTGCATGCGAGTGAGACACAATGCCATACCCCCAATGTGGCATAACAAAACTTTTTTTTATTAAAATACCATCAATTCAAAAGAAAGCATTTTAAAATAAAACTTTAAAAATAAATTAAAAATATCTGGAATCATTTAAATATTATTTTAAAACAGTTATTTATTGAGGACAATTTTATTTTACTGCTCTTGTTAATAATTGTTGTAACTTCGGGAAGGTTACTGAATAGAATAATAACATGAAGGTTAGTAATGAACGATAATACTTAGGACAAGAACAACATGTATAAGATTTGCCAGCGGCACGTAGAAGAAGTAATCAACTGCTAGAAGTGAATCAAGTCAATTCCACAATGAATCTCCAGCTGCAGACCAACATACAGTATTTACTACTCTATTTATGTGAATGGGGACATAACCCATTATCATTATGCTACAACAATAATAATAATAATAATAATATTTATGTAGTTGATAGCTGCAATGAGCCTGATCCAGCATGGGTCAAGTTCTGTTGATTCTTTTTTCTGCTCATCTGTACAGCTCCCCTTTTATTCAAATTTTTGACCATGCATGAAAATTAACAATATTTTTAAAACCACGCATGCGCTTTATATAAATTGCAAATGGTGGCTCTGACTAGTCAGGTGAAACATCATGGCCTCTTAGCCATAGGTAGATTACAATTTTTTTGTCCTATTTCACTACTATTTATTACTAAGGATTTACTAATATCCCACCTTGTGGGAATGAACAAAATAATAAGATAGTTACATAGGATTTATACAAAACTGTCTGATGAGTTGCTTTTACTAGCTGGTCAACTGACGAGAGATTTCAAAATGAAAATCTCCATTGTGTTACTCTTTTTTGAGCTGCATCTCATTTGTCACATTGATAACTAGTACAACTGTTTTTCTCAAAACAAAAGATGTTTGCACAAAGACATGTACTTTTTATAATTTTTATACTTGCAGGCAATTTTTAAACATAACTTTAAGACAAAAAGACACCCTAACAAAGTATTGTTAAATATTTTTCAACACTTTTTTTTTCTTTTTCTTTTCTTAAATCACACTCTTTTCTAAGTGTAATAATAATAGCAATCAGAATGATTAAAGTATTTTACAACACTTCCAGAAAAGCTCAATTTCCAGAAAAGAACAAGAAAATACTTCTAGAAAATTAAATTTTCACAGAATTTTTTCACTGTCATTTATTTGCCTCACATTGATCTGATATATATAGATTTAAATATTATATTCTCCAACACTACCTTTAATGAAAAATATATGTATACATGGGCATGGCGATGACTCAGGAGACAGTGACAACTAATTTTTTATTTATTTTACCTAGCAGGTAAAGTATTCATGGGAGTGAAATTTTGAATTCAATCATCATTTGATTGGTTCATAATTTGTAAACTTTCCAAAAAGTATATCTACATATTTATGTAAGATTAATATTAAAAAAGGTGATAAAAAATGGTGTCCAATTAAGACATAAATTAATCTTTTTGTCCTGTTAATGACTTTTTTATCATCTGTTATTAATGATTGCATAATTTTTATCACCTGTTTTTTTTAATAAAAAGGTGATAAAATTGTTGCCATAGAGAGATGTAACTTAGTAACTGCAACTTTTTTTTTAAAAATAATAACTACCAACTTTTTTTTAAAAAAAATAATGACTATCACCATTTTATAAAAAATTTAATGACTATCACCTTTTTGTAAAAAATTTAATGACTATCACCTTTTTGTAAAAAATTTAATGACATCACCTTTTTTTTTTAAATTAATGACTATCACCATTTTAAAAAATAATTAATTTTTATAAAAGTAAAGGTAATAAATATTTAGTGACTGTCAGCTTTTCTCATAGTTATTTTTGTCTCAGTATATCATCATTGGAATAAAAGTCACTCTCCCCAACACCACTATCCAATCAAATTAGAATGCTCCAAAGTTATTCTTAGATACTTCTATTTTTATATTTTGCAAATATACCTTTCTTTTCTCAAAATTAAATAAAGTTTCTTTAACAGATGAAAGTACAAAGATAATTTTTAATAATGAATGCAGAAAGCAACTGCAGCAGTTTCTCTAAATAGCAGATTTCTGTGTAAGCTTAGAAAATATATTACATATAGGGTAGAAAAAAAAAACCCAAAAAAACAAAAAAAAACCTGTTTACATGCTTTCTTACAAGATCCTCTACTATTGCAAATAAATATTATATCAATGATATAATAATTTTT